TWAAAAAGTCTGAAATCAAGCTTTCAGAGGTGTTTGAGGTCAAACAAATGTTAAGAATGAATTTCACCTAATTACAAGTTAAGAAGGACATGGACATTTCTCTTTTTTTGTRTCGAAAAAATACCGAACTGTAAGACTGAGTCATTGAACTGAATCCTGAGTTTCTGTATCGCTGCACCTGGAACTGTTACTTTACTCTGGAAAACCTCTGGTTTAAATCTAAACATCATTTAATGAGTGCTGATCACATAAAGTCCTCGTTAGCTCTGTTTCTATTATCCAGACTTATTAAAACTGTAAAGAGTCAAACAGCAGCTCAGATGTTAGGTTTTCTGGGAGCAGCAGGTGTTCCACGCAGCAGCTGGGAACCACCGGTCCCACCTGTCCCACCTGTCCCAGCTCCCTCTGTCCCGGTCCTCCTTTGTCGTGGCTAAACCCTCTGAAATGAAATGTTTTCCAGCAGAAAGGCAGCGCCGGGTTATTAGCTCTGACCCGACACGCGCGCTCACCATCTGCTGCACTTTCAATTATTCATCGGGCCAAATTAAAGTCACTGAATATTTAACCCATTTACAGTCGGCGTGTAGAACCGCAGCGTCCAAAAGTCCACAAAGCACCTCATTACCTCCATGAATGATTGATGGAGGGTAATCATGTTTATGTATATTTGATGTTTCCAGCTGAGGCCTGSCTTCCTCACAGCTCTGACAGCCGACAAAATCTGAAACTTTCAGCACTTCTTTACTCGTTCCATTAGATACAAACAGTTTTCAGTTTGACCTGGACCTGGTTCTGGTCCTGGTCCTGCTCACTCATTGGTTGTCTGATTTTATGACTCTGGAGGAACTGACTGATCTTTGACCTTTGACCCCTGTGCCTCAGACCTGGGAGCTGTGCCGGTCACGGTCCAGCTGCCTCCTTTAAGAGCTCCGTGGAGTTCCCTGATGACACCCTGCAGTTCATCAAGTCCCACCCCCTCATGGACACGGCGGTCCCGTCCATCGGGGACGAGCCTTGGTTCACCAGGACCCGTGTTCGGTAAATCCAGAACTAAAACCCGTGTTGTGTCCCTCCTGAGTCTGGAACATATTTATCTGAAGATGAAGGAAGTTCAAACTACGGTGCTAACACCGTGTCCTCTGCTGTCTCTGAAGCTACAGGCTAACAGCGCTAGCTGTGGACAACCAAGCAGGACCCCACAAGAACCACACCGTGGTCTTCATTGGGTCTGAGTCTGGGGTGGTTCTCAAGGTTCTAGCCAGGACCTCCTCTGTGTCCCTGGATGACAGCCTGCTGCTGGAGGAGATAGACGTCTTCAACAGAGTCAAGTAGGTTCCTCTGACCTTTGACCCCACTCAGTCCACTGGTTGACGACTCAGCAGATCTGCAGGTTTTTGTAAAGCTGCACATGACGGGGTCACAGGATCGATTCCTGTTAACCCCCGGCAGGCTTTAGATCTACTCGAACACAGAACTGATCTGATCCGGTTCTTCTTGTCTCTGCAGGTGTCCGTCCAACCGTGAGGACGATAAGCGTGTCCTGTCTCTGCACGTGGACAAAGACACTCACAGCCTTTACGTGGCCTTTTCAAGCTGTGTCATCAGGATCCCGCTGAGTCGCTGCGAGCGCCACTCGTCCTGCCACAAGTGAGTGAGGCGGCGCACGTGTCCCAGCCGCGGGACTTTAGGGTTTTGTTTTTCACGTTGTCCCGGCGGAACCTTTGTCTTCACGGTTAATGTTCAGCAGCCGGTCTAATGATTAAACCTGCTGCAGGTCCTGCATCGCCTCCAGAGATCCTTACTGCGGCTGGAGGCCTCATGGAGCCTGCGAGAGGATCCAGTCTGGTCTTCTGTGAGTTAAATCCAGTGTCTTCACTCGAACTCAGGCCAACATTGTAAATAAGAAACTGTTCTTAATGTTTTGCCCGTTGAACTAAAGGTTAAATAAATGAAATAAACACGCACACAGGAAGCTGAAGACAACGATACAAAGAAGCTTCTCCCTCTCATTAAGATCAGTTTAGAGTCATCAGTAAGCCTAACAAGGMTGGGTTTAGTCTGTGGGAGGAGAAAACACACAGGTGCATGGAGAGAACATCTTAAACGCCACGAAGAAAGACCAGGAGGCAAACCTGTGACTGTTTCAGTGAGGCAATAGGTCTAACCACTGCTACACTGTGCTGCTTGGCTGCAACATAAAAACTCAAATATTAAAGGAGACATATCTAAAAATCCAGGCTCGTTTGGATTTAAATAGACTCAAAAKGTGTTTATCTGAGACACGCCCCAGAAAAGGGGTGGGGCTTGTGGGGTTACAACAGGGAGGAATTCAGACAAAAAGCATTGCATTTCCACCTCATTTAGATTTAAAGAGACAGCCTGAAAACAAGTTGAACTGAGACAAACCTCAGAAAAGGGGCGTGGCTTTCAGCTTTTGGTAAAGGGGTGGGGTTTGTTGTACCTCAGAAAAGGGGTGGGGTTTATACAGTCACAACAAGGAGAAATTCAGACTAAAGCATTGCAGTTCCGCCTCGTTTRGATTTAAAGAGACAGCCTCAAAACAAGTTGAACTGAGACACACCTCAGAAAAGGGGAGGGGCTCATCGTGCCTCARAAAAGGGGCGTGGGTTGTGGAGTTACAATTAAAAGGAATGCAGACCAAAGCATTGCAATTCCTCTTCTAAATATAAAGAGAAAGCCTCAAAATGAGTTGAKCTGCGACACAGCTCGGAAAAGGGGGCTTGCAGCACTCAGAAAAGGGGCGGGGTTTGCTGTGCCTCATAAAAGGGACGGGGCATGTACAGTTACAACAAGGAGGAATTCAGACTAAAGCATTTTAGTTCCACCAACAGATTTAAAACAAGCTGATCTGAGGCTGTGTCCAAAACGGCAGGACGGGTCCTCCGAAGGTCGAATTTGTCGGCCGCATACGTCACAGCGCCGCGACGAAGGACGTCCAAAACGGAAGACTCCTCCGATGCGTCCGACAAATACGTCCTTCTTTTTCCCCGAAT